TACACATATTAATTAAAATTATTTTTTAGTAAATTGATAGATAGTTTAGTTATTATAGTTATTACAACATGTTGCTACAAGACTAGATTAATGGTTTTCCGATACAAAGTGCTCGTCATCTTAATACTCATCAAGATAATATTCAGAGTATTTAGGTTAACACATTTGTTCTTCTGTTTCAATTCTGGATGATAAAGCGTCCATTGTTCTTTCTAGACGCCATAACAATTATATTTAGGATCTTGTTTTTGTGGTGTGTTATATATCGATTCTGATAACTTTTGTGGAACTCACATATATTTTCGAAGAAAATAGTGAGTGTAAGTTTTAAGTTCGAGTTTTCGCGGCTCCCCCCCCCCCCCTAGGCCCCCACCATTACAGACCATAGCAACGCAGGCCCCCATTACAGACATCTCCCCCCATTACAGACCTTAGTAATCGAAAATAGCAGACGTTATTTTTTCTAAAGTTTTTTTTTGTCAAATCGATCAAGTTATCATTTTGAAGAATAATGAACATCATTATCTATGAGTTGATTAATATATATGATAGTATGTAAGATCGTCTGTAGATATCATGAATATATAAAACTGACTAATATTATCAATTAATTCAATGTTTATAATAATGAAAATGTTAAATTAAGAAAAACGACTTAAAAAATAAGAAAAATAATGAGCAAATAGCAACAATGAAAACAAAAAAAAATAAGGCGCCGTAGAAATATTTTAAAAAGTCTGTTAAAAATGCAGAAATTAGATAGATCATTACTCTGCACATTGATTATCGTGCAAATCAGCTATAGTCTATCGGAGGTTTTTCACTTTACGCATTTTATATTAGTTTAATGGGAGTAGAGAGTATATGTGAGTTCCACATTTCAGCCCCAAAGGGGCTGCGCTAACAAGCTTTTTTATGCTATTTTTCTGAGATAAAAAATTTAAAAAATTACTTGTAAAATCCTAAAAAAATCTCTAAAAACTCGTTTTTTTATATGGAAGAAAAACACTTGATTTTTTCAATGAAATTAGCTTTTTTCATTATTTTTATTAATAAAGACACTTCGAAATATACTCATCCGATGCAGTGTGAAAAACTGCGTCTGACGAGTATATCTCGAAGCGTCTTTGTTAGTAAAAATAATGAAAAAAACCTAATTTTATTGAGAAAATCGAGTGTTTTTCTTACCTATAAAAAATTGCTGGTTCCTTAATTTTCTATGGTAAAAAAAGCATAAAATTTCCGAAAATTTCGTAAGTTCCACATTAACATATTTTGATAACTCTTACTATTTAGTACTAATAAATCCAGTTTTCGACGCTCTTTAATTTGGTATACAATTCATTAGGTATTCAACTTGAAATAATAGCGCTACCCCCCTAGCAAAAGGTTATGCACAACCCTGTACATCAGCCTTATTCTTCATCATATATTTTCTAACCAATAAAATATTTCATCGTCTACTTTCAGCCACTAGAAGTTTTCATCCATTTTATTTCAACTATACTTCAAGCTACTTAAAATTTTCAAGTCAAACTTTTCTCGCTTGCACTATTCGAAAAATCTTATTGTGCAGATAAGGTGAGTCAAATATGGAAAGACGACATTCTATCTTGGACACAGAACCATTATCTGCTCAATATTCGAGAATACGTATGCCAGATTCACATTAATGAGATAAACAATTAGTTTGCTAGGACGTAATGCGAAGTAAAGCATCAGATTCCTTGATAATTTGAAATATTTGCTAAAAAAAAACTTACTATTTTAATTCTATAGGTTAATGTCATCCGATATAAAAGTGTCTAGTATCAATACAATGTTCTATTTCACAGTTTTATACTTCGGGAGCAAGATTGAGAATTTTAATTGTCTTGAAGAAAATGTTTGATTTGTTTTTCTGTAACTAAATTATCTCATTGCAAAAACGAAAGAATTTGAATCAAGATCAATTGTAATTATTCGAGATACTTGCATGTGTGAAAACATATTATAACGCTATTTTTCGACCTCAAATATCTTGCTCAATAGTGATCACTTTGAGTCTTAACAAAATATATTAGATAAATGTTTTATTCATGTATATACATGTCTTTTCTGTTCAAGAATGCCTGACCACTTTGATTACAAACTCAATGTCAATATCGAAAAAGGTGTTGAACTGTTTGGTCAAATTGGAAAAACTTTTTATGAAGCAAAATGGATTCAATCAAGGGAGCCTCAAATTATTTTAATCGAAATGGATAATGAAACTGCGTATCATGAGGCATCATTTTACATTCAACTCAATCATAATGATCATATCATTCATACATTTGGTTTTGTTGATAATGATCTTTATTTACCTATTCTACTACAAGAACGTGCTCCCTTTGGTAATCTTAGTGCTTTACTACAACAAAATCGATTTAAACCATCTCAACAAGTACTTATTGAAATCTTTAATCAAATCATTGATGCCATGATTTATCTTGTTGCTAAAAATATTGTGCATGGTGATCTCTGCTGTCATAATGTACTTGTTTTTAAAATGAATTCAAATAAACGAGAAGAAAATCTAGTCAAGTTAACCAATTATCATAATGCACGATCGATCGATCAGCCAATCAGAAATGATGGTCGAATAACAGCTCCAATACGATACTGTGCAGTCGAAATTCTACGTAGTGCAGGTCGATCAAACTATTCTGAATTATCTGATGTTTATTCGATGGGTGTACTTATGTGGGAAGCTTGTTCACAAGGTGAAATTCCATATACAAATATGAGCAATATTGAAATTCGACAAAGAAAATTGAGAGGCGAAAAATTACAGCGTCCGTACCAATGTGATAATAATTTGTGGCTGATAGTTCAAGATTGTTGGCATAATGAACCAGATCTACGTTACACGTTTTCAGAGATCAAGATTCGACTATCTACCACTAAAATTAAGTATGTAAAATTACATTTATCTGCCTTTACTTAACACAAACATGTGTTGACAAAGTATTCTAAATATCGTATTATAACGAAGGTGGTCATTTTTCGAATAACTCAAAAACGAAAATGAATAGTAATCTGCCGCTAGTCTCGAATATATTTTAATGAGCATTGTTAATGTTTGTAAATTCTTGTGATTGCGATTTATCTGAGCATCATCGAAAAATTATTTTAGTGAACAAAAAAACATTTCCAATTTAAATGACACAATGTGCTTTCAGTTTTCAAAAAAAAGCGAAGGATTCTCACCATGTTGTAGAAGACAGCAGTTAAGTGCTATCGATTTCTTATGACAGTATGAAGTATGAATTTGTTAGTTCTTTACACAAAGGTTAGTTCAACAGAAAAACAACAATGATAAACATATGCACTCGAACATATACACAAATTCGAGTTATTTCACTGATATCAACTGATAGAAACCACACGATTCAATTCTTATATAGAAGATGAATAGTACAGAGTATACGTATCATAACAATAGCTGATTAAAAATCTTCAAGGCAGAACAAACATTTTTAACTGTCACCCGACATGAAAAGAGGCTTATTGTGAACTAAAAAATATTTTTTCAAAGATTCTGGGAAAAACTGAGAAGAAAGATTTTTAAAATGTATGTTTTTCTAATGTGAATTATAGATCAAACTATGTTCTTTGTATTGCTCAAAAGTGGAGATGAATATCATTTTTAATTGTAAAATATTCTAAAAATACCTACCGACTACATAAATCAAACAGCAAAACCATTAAAGATCCCACTCAAATAACTTTTTTTATTTGATTTTAACCAAAATTGTATCGAATATCAGCTCTGACTAATACAGATTATGGTTAAAATGCTTTCTCAAATTTTCGAATTCGTAATAAAAAATCACCAAGGCTCATTGAATATGTATGCTTTTATTTAAATGCAGTGAAAATTCAAAAATTGAGCTCATTCAGAATCCGCCTACATGTTTCTATCGTCTAATCAAAAAAATTTCCAATTATATATTGGATATTTATTGAGCAAGGTTTACCCACGTAAGTGTTATACTCGAAAAACTGATTTTAACCCTTTGATTGCCGCCGCCGTTTATAAACGTCATGGGCTTTATCAGTGTCTAAACCTAATATAATCAATCATAGTGAATGTTTTTTGAGATCAACTTGCATAGAAATAAGCATCAGGCAGCTGAAGCTTTGATGCCATCATTTCATTATGGTATGTTCTAGAGTCGTGACTTAAAAACGGGTATGTGTAGCGAACAAGTACTTTTTTCTCTCTCTTATGCCGGCGGCCAATGGGTTAAGAAAATCGCAAAATTATTTGTTTCCATATTTTTCAAAATATAGTGAAAGCTCACATGGAACATAGACATATTATAGATTAATCGAAAGTACTCATTAAGCTCTATCAACGAGTATGTGTGACACGATATAAGAGTCGATGTGGCATGAGCTATTTTTTTTCTACCGCCTTTGCCATGAATTTTTTATCAATGTCGCCGGTTAAACTCACGAACTATGGGCTAGTGTTTTGCGAGAATGGTCTTTGCCCGTCATGTTTCCCACAGGAATCGATAATGGAAATTCTCTTGAAGACTTCCGGAATAGAAACGATCGTAAAAATTGACATTTATAAAAGTTGGTGCATATTGTTCCGTTGTATGTATATACTCTCCAAACTTTGTTATTTCAAAAACAAAAAAAAACGAAGTCAATCCAATGTTAAATCTTTGAGAAATAGTATTCGATATTTTTCCAATGACTTTTGCCTCGCTTACTAATTAAAAGGAAAATAACAAACACCTATCAACAAAAATTACTCAAAGTTAATTTATAATAACTATCATTTTATTTCTGATTACTATGTTTGAAACGACTATGTTTCAGATTATCTTGCAGTAAAGCATCGTTTTTATCTTCTCCTCCTGAGTGTTTTCATTATTTATTGGTATTTTTGATGTGCTAGTCTTTCTTTTTCTCTTTTCAATTGTTCAATCGATCAAGAAACTAATTCTCTTAACTTAAAGTTGATAAAGTTCGGTGTATAAATAATAATTGATTTACTTTACTAAAATGTACCACGAATGATAATTGTTTTTTAATGGAAGATCACCGCATGTTACGTAGAGTGAGACATTGACAGAAATCAGTGTTTGGTAACGATATTTTTTTCAAACATACAAAAATGCAACAATAATAGAAACTGAAAAAATACTGGTACGGAAAACTGAAATTGAGAAAAGTTGTATTCCCGCAGAAATCTACTAGGAGTGTCACATTACTATTATCATCACTAGTAACAAGTTTTAACTTTTGTTTTTCTTACCAATTTTATTACTGCAGTAATAATGTTTTCGTTTGTATTAATGCTATTCCGTCTGTAAAAGATAAAATTTAGTTAGAAAAGTGAATTATTATTTGTTATTAATCTCAATAATTGTAACTCTTATTACTTATTACAGCTTTAAATATCAAGCATATGAGTGTTCTTAGCCATTCGTCTTTTTTCACATCATTTACAAATTTATCTTGCTATTTGCATTTTTCACACTATGTTAGAAAAAGAACTTTCGAGGTTGTAAAAAAAAGAGAAATCGTTCAAAAAGCAAATACCTTCGATAGTTAAGAGTGTTTGAAAAAATTTCCCATTTATGTAGTTTTATGAAGCTCGACGATTTCTCTCTAAACATATAAAAATAAGGCGAAGCCCATTGTTGCTCGATTTTTGAATCAAGCATACTTGACGATGATAGTACTAACTTTAGGAAAAGATTTCTGATGGGTCGTAAAAAAAACCTTTAATATTCATTGAAAACATATGTGCTTTTTTAATTATACATTCTAATTGTCAACGTACATACATCCGAATATCCGTTCATGTGTTTATCTCAACATTGATTGTTTTCAAAAAAAACATCGAAATTTCGGAGAGAAGAACGGAGTCTTACTCATCATATCATTATAAATACATTTATTACATTTTATGTTCAATTATTAGAAAACCGTCGATATCCTATGACTTCAAATTCAATATAGATGTCAAACAAGGTGCACTGATGCCTGGTACTAGAAAAAATAATGTCTATAATGCAGAATGGCTATTAAGAAAGGGTCCACAAATTGTTCTCATTAAGAAAGATGAAGACATAGCTACACGTGAAATTGAATTTTATCGTCATTTGAAAATACATCCTCACATTATACAAACATTCGGTTTCGTTGATACTGAAAGTCCTGACTCAATCTTTCTATTACAAGAGTGTGCATCACATGGTAATCTTTCGACATTGTTACGAGAAAATCATTTCAAACCACTTCCGATCGTTCTTATCGAGATTTTTTCTCAACTCCTTGATGCAATGGCTTATATTTCAAGTAAGAAAATTGTACATGGTAATTTGTGTTGTCGAAATGTACTTGTCTTTAAAATGAATCCATATCATCGAAAAGGAAACTCCGTTAAATTGACTAATTTTGATTATGCACAATCGATGGATCATCTTAAAAATGGCAAAGATGAAATAATTGCTACGGTAAGATACTGTGCACCTGAAATTCTAGAAAGTGAAGGTCAATCAAAATATTCGGAAGCATCAGATGTATATTCATTGGGCGTTCTTATGTGGGAAGCTTGTTCGAAAGGTAAACTTCCGTATGCATCAATTGCCAATGATAATGAGGTTCGACGGCGAAAACTGAACGGTGAAAAATTATCAACACCAGATAACTTTGATGACAAGATTTGGGAACTCATTCAAATGTGTTGGGCAACTCAACCAGAATTACGTTTCAATTTTGCAGAAATGAGAACATTAATCTCGAGGATCAAACCAAGGTTAGTAAAACAAAGTATATATCTATTAATTATATATGAAATGAAGCAAGTGATCAAACAATATTTGAGATTTTTTTGATTAACGATCAGTAATTGACGATGCAGTTGAGGTTGAGAACTTTTCACTATTTCTTGAAAAGCTACTTGACAGAGTCAATGAATGAGCAGCTATTCTCTTATAACGAAACAACCAACCCAAAAAGGTTCATGATTCAGAAGCTACTTAAGTTACAACCGAGATCAATGAAATTTTAATATGGATAATACTTTAGCAGATACAAGTCTAATGAACAAAAGAAAAGAAAAAACAAATCTTAAAGTGCATTTTATTGTGCTGGATCTCCGAAATTTTATTGTCGTCTGTATCGCATTCATCTTTTATATCAAACTTGACACTTTCATACATTCAATTCTCAATAAGACCAGTTCGTTTTGTTAAGTTTTGTTTCTAGTCGCTATTATTGTAAACTATAGATATTGAAAATTCTTTAAATGATTTAAACTTTGGAAGCATTTAATCAGCCCCGTTGTTCAATTCTCACATTGTCGCTATTTCTTCTGTCTACATTGCTTTTCTTGAAAAACCAAACTGGTAAGATAGACCTTCTCAATTTCTCAATCATATTGACAGATTGATCAGTTGCATGAGAGCTGAGCAAGTACGGACTTTCTTGAGTACTTGAAGAATATGTCAATGAAGTGTAGGATTGTACTTTTCCAAACATTGTCGAGAGGGCCACTGTACTCTATAAATCGGAGCGATTGAATCCGGTTTCATACTAGTGTGGTTTTACTAACTGATGAGAAGGTGATCTGTCTGTCGAAATATAGAAAAAAAATCGATGCTTTTCCGTCTTTGAGTGGTGGTTATACGGGTTCGAAAAGTCACGCACAACCTGTATGAACATCACGTTTTATAAGTTCTTGTCATTACTTCCGACCTGAACTTAACCATAATATACTAGTTATGTCTAATACTGATTCACGTTTAAGTTCTAGCTACTAATGAAAAATATATTGTCAAAAAAAAACTATGTTTACTCGGTGCAAATAAGATATTTAGAACGCTTGGACTGTTTCGCTAAGATGTGATTAAAATCTTCAATTTCCAAACAGACAAATGTGTGATTGAATTTCTTAGGAGAAGTTTTAATTTTAGCAGTGAAAACTAGAAAGTAGTACATAGGAAAACAGAAGTTTCAAAGTGATTGGGAAAGATTCTGCTTAAAAACATCCTACGAGTGAAGGTTTCCAAGTTCTAAAGCGTTTTTGAAACGAGAATATTTCCGAACGGTAGATTCCATGAATGATGAATAACCTCAGAATGATTTGAGTATATGGATCTGTTAGTCCAAAATATGAGGTTAGTAAGTGGATTTCTTCGAGCAAAACGGTTTTTCAAAGAAAATGTATGTTACAAATTTTGAATTGTAACCTTTCTCACTAATATAGACTAAATCGAAGCTCGTTCGAAAATGCAATGCTGCGATTTTTCAGTAGTTTCTCTTTGAATTATCGAATTTTTAATATACTTATTGCGGACTGAAAGACTCAGTCACTCATTCCAACAATAATTTAGCAGTTAGAGATCTTCTATCGTCAGGCAAAATACGAAACCAGTGAAGCTCAAACTTGTGAGCCGTTGAAAAAACTACTGAATTGAGTTTTGAAATATGAAAATAAGAGGAGGACGGCACGATGGCGTATGTTAACCAGAGGAAAACAACGACAAACTTTGACAAATGACATTCAATAATAATAATAAACCTTTCAATTGATCGCTGATGCCCATAAACATGCTACTGGTATCACACTATGATAAGAATCAATGGCTTTTTTTTTTACAAAATCACTAGTACTCAATCCTCAAATACAAATATGAGTAACGACCCTTCGACTAAGAGTACTTTTTGTACTTGTTTATCTCTAAATTGCACATTTTTCGTGTATGATAGCTCAATTAGTCGGGTAGATGATGTATAAGAAATGGTACTTCTGTAAAAATTGTACTTCTGTAAAAATTGTACTTGATATTCGAATTATCACATATTCTAATTGATTTTAACTAATATCGAATATTCAAAAAAAAAAAGAGTTGAGTATATGAAAACAATTTTTTCCTTAACTTTTCATCATCACGAATTTAGACATTGAAACGATCAGCTTGGTGTGGATAATCATAAGTGAACATGTGACATCCACATAGACTACCACACTTCTGATCGGAATCTTTCATATTCTATCACATAAGTTAAACTTTTCTTTATTATTATGCATGAAACAAAAATGTTTTTAAAATAGCCGAAAAAATCAGTATATCATATCATGTCACTGTGTTTGATTGCAATATTTTGTAGGAGAGATCATAGGCTATCTTCAAAAAATTAACTCGATATTCTAGAATGCTTCTGTGCTGAGTTATAGAAAAAAAGTCAAGTTAACGCCAACGTTATTTTTTCTCACTTATTATATTGATTTCTTGTGTTCATAAGAAAAATATTCGACAATTTATTAATCAATTGATGATACTTTTTTCTTGAAGAGTGACATGGCATTATAAATATAATCTTAATACTGACATTCAAAAAGGTGTTCAATTGTTCGGACAACTTGGAAAGAGCTTTTATCAAGCAGAATGGAAGTCAAGACATGAAAGACCAATCATTTTAATCGAAATGGATCATGAAACTGCATATCGTGAAGCATTATTTTATATTCAACTCAATCATAATGATCACATTATTCATACATTTGGTTTCGTCAATAATGACCGTCACTTGTCAATGCTGCTGCAAGAACGTGCATCTTTTCATAATCTGAGCATTCTGTTACAAGAGGATGGATTTCAACCTTCACAAGAAGTACTTATTGAAATATTTGGTCAAATTGTTGATGCCATGATTTATATTGCTGGGAAAAATATTGTTCATGGTGATTTATGTTGTCGTAATGTACTTGTCTTCAAAATGAACTCAAATCAACGAGAAGAAAATCTGGTTAAGGTAACGAATTTTCATAATGCACAGTACATTGATGAATCATCAAATGACAATGATCGACTAATCATTCCCGTACGATACTGTGCACCTGAAATTCTACATACTCGAGGTCAATCAAATTATTCAGAAGCATCAGATGTCTATATGATGGGTATGCTCATGTGGGAAGCTTATTCACAAGGAGAAATTCCTTATTCAAATATGAGTAACAATGAAATTCGACAACGAAGATTAGGAGGTGAACAATTACAGCAACCATCTAAATGCCACACTGATGAGTGGACACTAATTACAGAATGTTGCCTCAAAGAACCAGAGACACGTTGGACATTTTTCCAATTGCAAAGTCGACTATCAAACATCAGAATAGAGTGAGTAGAATTAAGTAAATATATATAGAGTACTAATATAAACAAATCTGTATTGCTCAGACGAACTACGTAGGACATCTTTGAAATAGTCGATATTGATTGATCTTATCAATTTATTTATTTCCTCGTTGGAAACAATGCTAAATATGTTTGAATGAGAATTAAGATCTTCCCCCTTCACAAACCGATTTCAGCCGAGGTACATCCAAATTGACTGAAATTTTCAGAATATGTTGGTACTGTACTGGAGAGGCTATAGTAAAGTTTTCAGCCCTATATCCCGATGTTGACCAGAGATGCTCGCCAAACAAGGGTCAAAAATAGCACATTTGGCAACTCAAATCTCTCTGCCCAGGATCATTCTATATATTTATTTATTTTTGTTTGAAAGAGGATGTCACAATGCAGAGCATGATCAGGCCATTTTTTTGAATACTTACTTTTTAAGTGCAGAGAAGAGATCAAAAGTTCAATGACTAAACCAATTCTCTAAAAATTGGCGCCAATTTATATAAGCGTCTATATAAAAGCAAAGCTTAATTTAAAAAAATGACCTGGTCATGTCCTGCATCTTGGCATGCTCTTTCAAACAAACAAAAATTTAAATATAAAGTACGAGTCTACACAGAGAAATTTGGAATGCGACATCGAAAAAGCATATACTGAGAAAAAACGAAAAACATTTTCTGTTTTTTCTGAAAGCAGCATATTCCTCGAATAGGGAATGACGAAACTTTTCAAAAATCTTGGGAAAAAAAGAGATGCCGACTAAAAAACTTGATCGTTTATGAAAGACCAGCTGACGGGCTATCTTCCCATATGTTAATTCTCAATTTCAGAATTTCTAACGAAAATTGACTTTTTTCGAGCGGGACAGGGCTTAACAAAATTAGTATTCACATTCAAAATGAGTCATAACACTTTCAATTATGAATATAGTTTTTACTATATTTCTCTTTGTCGCAAGAGATATTTCATATAGAATTCATAAGTGTCGCTTGTTGTTTATATCTAGAAGATACAGCTTGTCATACTACGCACGTTATATTAGAATGCGGGTCTGACGAGGCAAGGTCCCCAACTGTCCAATTGCTTTTGAGTTCGGACCCTGTGCATAAGGTAAACCCCAGTGAAGTATGAAAAACTCCAAAAGGATAACGGCCTTTAGGCCTTCTGTTCAGAGTTACAGGGATTTTACTGGAATTACAGCCTATGGCATGGTATTTACCAAAATATCGAATGACGATATTTCGGGTTGAGATTTTGCCCATAGATAGATCTAGTTGTGAGTAGAATGCCCCGAAAATTTTAGCTCAAAAGAATATTTCCTTCCCGAGATATTAAAATCTCAAAAATCACTCATATTTCACGAAAGGTGCTAGAATTTTCTGTTTTTTTTTACTTTTATATCTTGAGAAGGAAACATTCTTTTGAGCTGAAATTTTCAGGACATTCTACTCACAACTAGACCTGTCTATGGACGACATCTCAACACGAAATATCGTCATTCGAGTGGTTGGTAAATACTATGCCATAGGTTAAAATTCCAGTTAATTCCCTATAACTCTGGACAGAAGGCCTAAGGGCCGTTATCCTTTTGGAGTTTTTCATATCTCACTAGGGTCTACCTTATGCACAGAGTCCGAACTCAAAGGCGGTTGGACAGTTGGGGACCTTCCCTCGTTAGTAGTCATTTGAAAATAATCAGCTATTAACATTAAAAAGTTCTATTTTCCATCTGAATAGTCTCCAATCTCCTTCAAAAATTGTTTTTCGATACAGATTTTGCCAGAATGTAGTAGAAAACAAAGTTTTTTTTGTGGAACCGAAAGATAAGCCTAGTAGAATCTCATTGTTTTCTAATGTTCTTAGAAATTAATTAGACAGCCATCATTTCAAGCACCGGATCAAATATCAATGGTTTAATTGGTCGTCAGTATCTATTCGTCTTTTTATTGGTGAAGAAACACGAAGAAAAAATCTAATATAAGAAAAAACGATGGTAGCAATGTGAGGATAAAATGAAATGCGCCAACTCAGTAAACAATTCGGTGAAATGACATCCTAACATATCTTTAGTCTATAAGCGAAATTTTCAAAATTTTTCGAAAAAAAATGTATTGATGAGTTCAGTATATGCTGACGATTTTGCAATCGAAGTGAAGAAAAATGTAATCATATGATTACTAACCGAAAGTCATTAGATCAATAGAATCATAGAAATGAGATCGTCAATCTGCATCAATGACATACTGATTAATAAATCGAAATATGAAGCATTATTAATCATAATAGTTCTCATTTGACTTTCAAATTTGTAAATTCAACCAATTCTTCCCTCGAATATGTTAGCATATTCTGAAACTTATAATCAAATTGCTCGGTGAACTAATAATAAAAACAACACATATGCCATAGGTAACAAAGCACGTGATCGTCTATTTTATTCTTCCATTCTTTCATTAATAAAAAAAGAACTTCGAAGAATTCTTCTAATTTAATTTTTGCTTTCTTTTTTACAAGGTATAACATATCATAAAAGTATTGCTGTTATAGCTTGTAATATTGAAAAATATTGATTTATGGAAAAGCAGAATCAATGGTGAAAATTCAAATGGCTTGCTAATGCTGCTAAAGCAGAGCTACAAATAAAAGATTGATAAATCGAAGGAATGATTTTTAAAAATATATCTTGATATTACAATGAATTTTCGTTCATCTCATAATGAAGCTGATAACTATTCTAAAGGTGAATTTAATCGATGGATGTAATAGTTAAAACAACTTAATTTGAAAATCATATCTGTACTATTTAGTAGATTAATCAAAAGCAAATAGCTTCTTATTAATTTAATTGCAACTCAAGACAAGAAAATGAAAAGCAAGATGCCAGATTCTACTGTTCATGACATATTTTCAAAAATGATTGGTAGTGTTACAGTCGATGGCAAAGGTCTTCTATCTAAGCATAACACCAATGATTCGAATTATGAATACGTTCTTGGCGAACAGCTCGATTCTAAAGGTTGATATATGTCTTATTTAAAATCAAACAGTGTGATGCACCATATAATATATTCTTTGGTTTTATACGATCTCAATCGAGTCAGAGTAGGATTTTCATTAATTTCTCTGTTTTACTTGTGGACGATTAGGTTACAATAAATTATATCAACATGGTACACGCATTGGTAATTCTAATCTGCATAGGTAAAATAGCAACGAAATGTAACATTTGATTGTGAAAAACGAAACAAATTGAATTATAGTGCAACAACAAAAACAGAAGGAACATATGTAGAGTTAATATTAACCAAGCACCGCTTCATTGGCCATTTTATAATCGTGTTAATTGACACGAATGAATGTTCAATAATTCTTCAATCTCTGTTACATTTAGTAAATGAGATTCAGACTGACTTGTTGATAGAATGAAGGTCATAGCATTGATCTATGTAGTATTCATAAATTAATACTACAAATTTTTTTTTCTAATAATGTTCGCACCGATACGACAGCATCAAATAGTAATGTGCAATATTATGTAAAACAGTCTGTTTTATTAAATTACTTTTTATAGGCTTAACAAAGAAATAGATGGACAGCTTAACAAGGAAAGCATTTTGGTTGATTCTATACCTTTGAATGCATTTTTTTTTGACTGAAGACAATACCACTTAAGACTTGAAGAACAGAAAATAATCTTGCAACTTTTTTTGAAAAAAAGCATGAAATTTCCGATGATAAAACGAGCATTGGCATCAATGTATTTCGATGACTTTGACAAGAAAAATCAAGTTCACAATATTTATTTGATTACGTAGTTATCAGAATAACAAATGTCGTCTTCAAGTAGTAAGATACATGTATTGCTTACCGTACAATATTAAATGTCTTAAGAGTAATAAGTAGTTTTTGTATTCTCTTACAAGGAAACATTCCCCGGGTGTCGGAACGCTTTTCAGTCGGAGTTTCACGCACCTTGTAGTCCTTAGTGAACTATGTCTGCCATAAAAAAAGTTTGGGTTTCTGGCATATTTTTACTGAGATATCGAGTTTTTTGTAAATTTTCTCTATAGTGTCCCATTTTTTCAGCAAAGCTATTTTTTAATTTTGATCTAAAACTTCGTGTACATAAGGGCCTCAGCTAGGCTAGCTTACATAGAAAGTTTCAGAACTCTTGGGCAAAGTCTCTTCGAGACATAGAACTTTCAAGGTTCAGATCCTTTTTCATAAATAATATATATATAGTATGCATTTTTTGAAAGTTTCTTATCTCGGAGAGACTCGGTCGAAAAGTTCTGAATTTTTTACAGAAGCTAGTCTAGTTGAAGTATTTATGCACACGAAGTTTCAGGTCAAAATTCAAGAATACAGCTTTGCTGCAAAACTGGGACACTCAAAAAAATTTACTAAAAACTCGATATCTCAGTAAAAATAAGCCAGAAACCCAAACTTTTTTTATGGTAGACATAGTTCAGTAAGGACTACAAAATAGATGAAACTCCGACTGAAAAGCGTTTCGACACCTGGGAATGTTCCCTTGTTAATGTTATTGAGATCTATGAATATCCATATTTTGTGATCGTCATTATTTCCAGCTTTCTTCTCACATTATTATTTCTCAATATACATATATAGCACTCACCAGAATAGTAAACATCATGTGATTGTGTTAACATTGCTGTAGTCTTCCATTACTCGAAGTGTGTTTTATAACTAAATGCATGTTTATTATTGCTAATATGATACAAGTTAAATGGTCTTCCTAAACTAAAAGGACAGTTACACGAATAGACTTTCAGACTAACGGAACGGATAGATAATTGTATTAATAGAACTGAGCAATAGAATTGTTGTCACACCGAAGAGTCATTCAATTTAAGCTATTACTTATAATGATCAGTATCTATAGCTTGCTAGCTGACGCTTTTTAAGGATCAGATCATAATACTACATGAAGACTCTGCCGTGACGACAATAAATACTGTTATGATCAATATT